CGGCCAACCTATACGCTCGGAGAGGAGGCTCCCCGCCCATCGGCGCCCCCCGGTTTTGCGGCTGCTGCCGCGCTGCCGCTCCTGCTCCCAGGCCGCCTGATTGCTCACTCACTCTTAGCGAGAGCCGCGCGAGCGAGTACACGGCGACGCTCGCGGAACAACCGTAACGAGTCTCTCGCGACGATGCCCAGCCGGACGTTAGCCTCCGCGCTGCTCTTGGATATCTCGGCTGCTGCCCGTAGCTCGGCCGCGCGACCTGACCGCAACCACTGCGACAACTGAACCACCGCCCGGACTCGGTCTCCACCAAAGTGCTTGACACCTCTCAGTGCTCCCAAAGTCCTAAGCCGCGTCCTGTTCGACCACGGCAGTGCTTCCGAGGCCGGGCTCGATCGGTCTCTTTGCCTATCGAGTCAGTCGCTCCGACTCATTATAAAAAAAAAAAAAAAAAAGAAAAAGAAAAAAAAAGAATCTCGAGTCATTGTGTATGCACATTGTACCGACTGGCCCGCGGCAACTCGATCCGGTGCCACGGATGAGGTGACTAAGTGATTTCCAGGCAGCTCCTCTCGCAGCCCGCTCGCAAGCCCGGCGAAGCATCCACGAGGAGGCCCGATCTCGCCCACGGACCACGGCCCTCCTCCCACGAGGTCGTCGGCTTCGGTCCGGCTCGTGGAATGACAGAGAAGGTAAATACATAATCTAAGCAGCTTGAGCGCGCGCGACTTTTCGTATTGCCGCGCCTGCGCGCCCTAGAGACGACGCGCACAAGGTCAAATAGTCAAGAGTCCACGCGGGTGTCGTCTCGCCGTGAATTTTCGTCCACTACGTCCTTCCTAACTTCACTGCCGACTTGGCGGGCTCTAGCTCCGTACCCTCGGACGTCGGCCCAATCCTCGCCGCCTCGCCATCTCGACACCTCGCTACATCTCATCGCGTCATCTTCGATCCCGGCGGCACTTCCACCTTCCTTCATTGTCAATTACCTGGCACGCGCACTTGCCTCTCGACCGCCTTGACAGGCGAGGGAAGCTTTTAAAAACCGGCGAGAACGCACCAGCAGCTCTTCTTTCCATCTTCTTCCTTTCCCGGCTCAAATGATTAAGCCACTGATGATGATGATGATGATGATGATGATGATGATGATGATGATGATGATGATGATAATGATGATGATGATGATGCGCTAACGCTACATACGTACAGTTTCAATCTCTCTCCGAAACTTCTCAACTATTTACGAGATTCATTGCTGGGATTTTGCTTTCGCGGCTGAGATTTCAATTCCCGGCTACGTGACGTTTTATACACTTTTCTTAGCGACTCGGCAAATAATGGATTAAGCGAGATATTTCGAATTATAATTTGAGACTCATTTGTTTGGCAAACGCATGTAATCGAGCACACTTTCGTGCCAGTGTTAATCGAGCGAATACATTATTATTCAGTTCTTGCAATATTCACAAGAGACGCGCGACACTTGCAATTGTTCTTAAATTTATCGGGCGCCATTGTCAAGTGCTCATGTTCCCCCGATGTTCGATAATGACAAGTATAAGTACTAATGTTTCATGCGATAAAATCGGCGGTATAAGGAAAGGGTGGAAGGACGAGGGAATCTATTTGGCGCCTACCTGTGACTTAGCACCTACTTATTAGTTAATATAGCCTCTAGTGAGCATTTCGGCTAATAGAGTAGTAATAATAAGGTCGATGTTGCGTGTGTACTCCCGCGAGTGCCGCGACCAAGGCTTTTCCTCCCTGTTCCGCTGACTTTCGTCGAAAAAAAAACAAAACAAAAACAAAAAAAAAAAACGAAAAAAAAATCGAAAAAAAAAAAGGAAAAGACGACAATAAAGAAAAAGTGTACTCGATGCTCCGGGGTGATGGGGCGAGTGTAGAGGGACGAGGTAAAAACAGGTTGTATGGATTAGCACATGAAATTGCGGGGGCCGCGCGAACGTCAGATAGCGCGACGACAAAGAGCCAAGAGCCAAGAGCCGCGCAAGATTGGGTCGATAGAGGAGAGCTGGGGAGAGAAGGAACGGCTGAGGAGGCTCCGGTAGCTTAAGTAGCAGGAATCGCAATCGTCGCTCAGCCTCAAAACTTGCTGATTAAGTCGGCACTGTCTTCCTCGACTCGATTTCCCCTCGGCGGTTGGCCAATCGCGGGCGCAACGTTAACGACGGGCAGCCGAACGTTAACGCGAAGCTAGACAGACAGGCCCGACGCCGGTATATTTGAATAAGCGGCAGCGCTGTCGGGAGAACGAGGATCCGCGGCCGGACAATCGTGGGAGACTCCCAGACATGGTGAAACAATGTGGCCGTTTACGGGGAGTCGTCAGGTCGGATACGGCGATGAGCCGCTGGTAAAAGCCGGCCGACGTGAAAAACGTTGGCCGAGGACGTGCGAGCGGCTCTCTTATCTGTCAAATTTCGTTAAGCGAAACCCCGTTAGCGAGCGATTCGAGTTGGCTCGAATGTCTCGCGTGGCTGACCCACATGTGCATTATTGAGGCACGCATTGGCGAGAAACAATGCGCTTAGCATTGGTCCGCGCCTTTATGATAAGATCGATAAGGAAGCAGTTGTGTTTTAGTTTAAAAGCCTTTTTTTCTTAGGGTAAAATGAAGCTTGAACGGGCGCTCGAACGCTATCGCCGGATGAGATGATAATGCGAGTTTAATGTAGCAGTCTCATTGTGCGGAGCGCATTAAATGCTCCTTATTTGCCATAAAAGGGTCGGGCTAACTAGTAAGAATTGCACACGGAGATTTACGTAAGCTAGGCTACGAGCGCGAAGGGATAAAAGTATGGAGGAGATAAGAAAATGAAGTGAAAATGTCCAGCCGCTCGGGTAAACGAAGACGTGGAGATTCGTAGTTGGCGAAAAATTAATTGTCGGCCAAGTGTCGTTGAGGCGTATTATTAAGATCGCGCGAGGCGTGGGATTATTAATCGGGCGCCGGTAACTATTCTTGTAAAACAAAAGTTTGACGACGGCCTGCCAAATGTGCTCGTTTATAATTTCGTCCAATTATACAAAGAATGTAGATACGTAGTTGTTGTAGGTAAGCGTTTGTATCGTTTGTCGATCCAATTGCCTCGGTCACTTCCCGTTAAAATCCTATAAGGCCACGACGCCGGCCCGCCTACCACTGTATTTGGTTGGGCAAGAATTTCCGCGCAGTAGCAGCTGCTGCAACTCGATCCCACTAACTGATACGCCAAAGAGGAAAAACATCAAAACGAAAGAATAAACAAAGAAGGCGCATGAACAAAAGCTATCTGAAATTTACATGAATGCAGCCGAGTCCTCATGCTCTCCTTGGCTTTTCTCTTCGCCCCATTCGCCAATACATTTTTCTTTTCTCTTCTCGCTGTTCTTCAAGCGACACCCTATCACATATACATTAAGAACGTCCAAATACGTAAATAAGCGCATAAAACGAAATAGAAATCATCGTGTTGCCGTTAACACACGTTAAGCGATGGATAGGTCGATAAGTCGATTTATAACGGCTGATAGATCGCCGCTAACGATGAGAAGAAATAAAATTTTGAGGCCACAGCCTACATTCGTGACGTAAGAATGAAAATAACATTAAATTGGAGCAGACGAGTACGTAGATGTTGTTGTGTTTATGGTGAAATGAAAGAGCAAGAAACAAATGAAGCAACAAAAAATCGAACGAAAACAAAATGAAAGAAACACCGAGAACTACTAAATATTTACAAGCTTAAGCCTTTGTGCGTCTGGACTCTTTATAAAAAACACTTTTAAAATGACTTTTTTTTTTGTTCTTAACTTGACACTCATTCGCATTTAATGTGATTTGTTTTATTTTTTACTTTTTATATAAGCTTTACCTCTTCCTCTTTATCTGTTTCTTCCTCTTTATCTGTTTCTTCCTCTTTGTCTGTTTCTTCCTCTTTGTCTGTTTCTTCATCTTTGTCTGTTTCTTCCTCTTTGTCTGCCTCTTCTTCTTCTTCTTCTTCTTCTTTTTCCTCCTCTTTTTCCTCCTCTTCTTCTTCTTCTTCTTCTTCTTCTTCTTCTTCTTTTTCCTCCTCTTTTTCCTCCTCTTTTTCTTCCTCTTCTTCTTCTTCTTCTTCTTCTTCTTCATCTTCTTCTTCTTCATCCTCTTCTCCCTTCCTCTCGTCTTTCCTTTGCCGTCGCTTGACTTTAACAAATATGCACAATTATAGAGATTCTTAGAGTTATCAAAGTCCTTGGATGAAATTCTGAAATCAATCCAAACATTAATTTCAATATGGACTTTTGCAGCGGCATTAAGATATTGTTTAAATACTTTATCATTGTAGATGAATCTTTACATTGTGAATCATTACGCTACTGTAAATAACATTTTGAACTTAATATTATGTCTTTTGATATCAGTATAAATAATGAGCTTGTCGTTGCAGCAATTATCATAAACGATCGAGGCGCAAAATTTATTAATAACGAATATCGATGCATTGAAGCAAATAAACATTTTGCCATTATATACCGTTGAAACGCCATTTTACGCAAAATATTTCACAGAGAACTGGCTTTATATAAAATCTTGAGCAATTTCAGAAATTAATTGGGCCCAGAGAGTGTGTAATATAATTTTATCTGCTAAGAATTAGACGCAAATCATTATTTAAAATTGTAATGGCTTCAAAGTATGTAGTCCATGTGCACTTAGTTGCAATAAATAAAATATCGGCTTCCGAGAATTCAGCCGAACATTAACCGATGGAGCTAACGAAATTTGAAGTGTGCAAAAAGTACGTAGGAAAAAGGTTGCTCGTTTCAACGAATAAATTTCTATTCGTGAGAGAGGGCGCAGCCTCGTTCGAGGCTCTCCGGTATCGAGCAATTGCATCGATGATCGATCGAGTATAGCATTTCTTCCGAGAGAGAAAGTACGCGCCGCTCGCCGGATTCGCACTGTATCTTTTTTTCACTTTTCCTTAATAAAGACATTGATCAAGCCGTATATACGGCTCGTAGCAATAATGTGCCAGGTTTTAAAAAATTCTAGAGAGCGACTTGCTTTACGTTACTGCCGATCGTTTGAAACGCGAGTAAAAAGGGCTTGGCCGCGCGCTCCTTCTCGGCTAACGAAATTCCCGCAAAAAATCCTCGCGAATCTCGTGCGCACTACCATAACTCACGGCTAAAGCCTAAATAGGAGCGGGGAAATGGGAAGGGGGAGGAGGCCCGTTGTGGAAGGGGACGAAGGGTGGGTGGGTGGGTGGGTGGGGGGGTGGGAAAAAAGGGGTA